TTTTTTTTATTGGGTATTTCTACTAATAGTGGGATTCCTTAACCTAAAGTTCTTGGATGGCTTCTTTCCATAATGTCCTATCTAAGGACCATTCTTCCCGTAGACCATGACCTATCATGGATTCCTCCACTTCGTTATCCCAGGTCTTCCTCATCTTCTTCTTTCCCTAGTTTTCCATAAGTGGACTTCTTTGGGTAGCCTTCCTTCAGGCATTCTTTTCAAATGTCCGTACCACTTCAAACGTTTCTTCTCAATATCTTCCAGAATGGTTCTTTTAGCCTCCATCTTTATTCTTATGGTCGTATTTCTCACTTTTTATTTTTATACAGGACGAATTAATTTTTTTAGGACCCCAACAGGACGCCCACAAAGTTGGCAGACTTATGCAAAACATTTGGCACAAAACAAGGACAACTAACTGGAACGAAACAAGAGAAGTAATAGACCTCATCACAAGGGTGGCGGGTTAGCCAACCAACCACATGAAGTTTACGGAGTTTACAAGATACAAAATAATTACGAGTTCTCGTCCCGAAGGACTTTTTAACTCAGGCATTGATTCCCGCCGTATCCATTGGCTCGGGAAAATTCCCGTATAGCATAAATGGCGAAAAAGAGATGGGAAAAAACAAAAGGTAAAAAACTCATCGCTGGAAAAATATTCTCATTAACAAATTTCTCCGTCAATTCCAACTCATCAAAATTTCCTTACTGTACAAGGGATCCTGTCCCACCTCAGGATATCGTTCACACATCCCCAGAGGCTTAGAAAAATGATCGAGATACTCTATTAATCGGGGGAACGATGTAAAGGATTTGTTAGAGCGAAGATTCAGAACGGTAGACTCTGTAAGAAATTTTGTTCGTACGAAATTGTAAGAAGTGGTTTGGAGAAGAAACTTGATTACTCTATTTACAAAATCTTACAAATGTTAACTTTGGCTTTCAAAAGGAAATGCCGTGTGAGTTTTAGAGGAAACATTTTGCTAAGCTAGTTTTTTATAATATAAAACATCCATTAACTTTGTTTAGGAATACTAGTCCAAGAAAAAGAATTCACTGATGACTTTGGAAGATCCTGTCTTGAACTTTGAAAACTATAGGAAAATTATGTAAATACACTAGAATGCCAATCTTTACTTTTTATAAGCTCACAATTACAATATATGCTGCTCAAAAATAAATGGGGATATTTCTATTTGATGCTACTTTAAGGTCACATTAACCTTCAATTAATAAACCTTCAATTTTAAAACACGTTTTAAGAAATTTCCTAGAATGAAATGAAATCTTAATTATATTAATTTTCAATCTGTTTTACCATACAAATAAAATAAAAATTATAGGAAAAAAAAATGATATATAACTAACAGTATCGTTTTTTAACAGTATAGATAATTTTCTTTTCACAAAGAGAACATCCTTTCACATCACCTAATAAATTATCAGCATAAAACTACTTATGTAACAATTATGGATGAGAATCATTCCTTAGCATTCATTAATTTAGAGAACTCCCATAAACGTTGTAATACTGCATTAATGAATACTACCAATCTGCTGTGTCCACTCACACGACTTTCCTACCTATTACAGAAAAGTTTTAAAAAAAGAAGCAACAAAATCAGTTCAGTAGTTCCCGAGAAAATCTTGGCACAGACAGACAGACAGGCAGACAGACCAATGGCTAAAAATTTGTTTTTCGGACTCAGGGGGCTATGAAACGTATAGATCCGTCGAAAACCGCATGTCGGAAATTCGAACCGGTTGCAATACTTTCCTTACCTAGTATATTTAGGAAAGTAAAAAAAATTAGGCTCATGTAAAGAATTTTAAGTATTCTATAATAAATATCAATAAGTTGCAATCCTGTGTTTAGATAATTTTCTAGAGAACTGTCCGATGAAAGAGGGCGCTACACGACGGACTCCTGACACCACAAGGAGCTAGAGTTGATTTAGATGAGAAGTCCCATTACAACTGTTACAATGGAAACATGGCAATTAAGCTTTGAAGGATTCACTTAAATAATAATTATTTGACTCTACAATAATAGAATACTCTAAAACCTTCACGGGAGTTTGGAATATGTTTACTCGCTCAGAGATGACGTCTAGAGCAAACACAGACTTGTAAACACAAGTCTTCAACACCTAAATCTTCCTGTCGTATGTAAATTCATAATAATTACGATGCCTCCAACTGAGAAACAATATTTCTTTGAGTGCCTTGGTATGCACTTTCAGCTAAGAGTGTTTACATTCTTTTACTTTTTAAAATGTAATTAAATCAATGCACAAACCTTTATATTTCTCACAAGAGAAGTCATTGGTTTAAAAAAAAAATTTGTTGTTGATTTATTTTTTTATACTTCATTTATCTAATTAAAAATCAACTTACAGTTATTAATCTCTCTATTTTTGAATGATATCGAATTGATTGTCACAGAAAAGAAAAAATATTTATTTTTTTTCCTGTTCATATTTTATTTTTCCTATCAGTTAATAACCAGAGATAATATTGACGAGAGGCCGTGGTGGCCGAGCATGTTAAAGCGTTGCATTCTCATGTCTAGCGGCATCGATTCGAATCCGGTCTGGCTAGATCGAATAATAATCAACCCTTTATGAGATACTACACAGATGTACGTAGTTTTAGTTACATTACGCAATACTGTTGACCACAAAAAAAACAACAGATTTTATGATTTTTTATTTGTACCGTTCAATTCCAGCTATTATGACCGCATTCTTATAACACGTTAACTGCCTATTCTCATTTCAAAAAGTTTCCATTGCATAACCCGTCCATTATCGGTTAGCGTTATCAATTAAAAATTATCACGAGACAATTAAAAAAAAGAAAAAAAGATCCACGTATGGAGCCGTGAAGAAAAAAAAAACATTTCCTCGTTTTATTATAATTTCAAAAATAAAAGAATTTCTCTTCAAACATTTTTTTTTAATTTATGAATAGTCACTTAGACCACTTGAAGAAGTTACATCACAAGATAAATATAATGTCTTTATCTTATTACTTTATTCATTTTAATCGACTTGTGTCTCTTGAATATCTGCAAAAACTGACCAGACATAATTTCATCAAAGGCATAATGAGAAAATAAAAATAAGAGACACTAGCGGATCAAGAGGAGGAGCGCGGGAAGGGGGCAATATAATTTATGTTTATTATATATCCCAAAATGTTGGACAACCTTCAATCTTGAAATTATGCAAATTTTCTATTTATCTTATGGACAGAAGGGTTAGTTAGTTTGAATTTTTAAATGGATACATAATTAATTTCATTCCTCAAGGGCATAAGCAAGTTACAAGCAAAGTTATAAGCAATTTTCTGTATTTCACCCATTAACGGTTAACCGCTTTATATCAACGGTGAAACACATTTTTACAATTTTCTCAAAAACTTCTCTAACGATTTTGATTAAACTTGGTGTATCATTATATAATTAAGTGGTCTTTAATATCATTTAGATCTTATCCACATTGATGTCACTTTACAGGGCTTAAATGCCCAATGTATCTCTTCCTCTAAAGTATCGTTAATATGGTTTATTTTAAAAAACTAACTCTTTAAGCAATTCTTTATTCTATCTTTTATAAGATACCATATATATATATTTTTTTTTATTATTTATTTATTTGTCATATAAAAAAATACTAGGGCGACTCTTGGGCGCAAAGCTTGGTTAAGCATGTATTTTTAATTTTGTTGGTGTAGTCAGCATCACGTTTAACTATAGGTGCCCTCCCTCCCTTCAGATACATTTAAGGATAAGGTAAGAAGGTATTAGCCTGGCTTGAATAACTAAAAATAGCACTTTTCTCTATGAACTGATCTAAACTTAAACTCAAATGTTGTTTTAAATGATGCTACACTTCATTGCAGATTTTTTTATTTTATTTTTTTCATCATTTTAAACCTGTAAAGCGGAAATTCAGGAATAAAATCTAGCAAAATTATGGAAAGCTGGAAGCAGAATGGACACCCATGATGAAGAAAAGGGAAAGGAAGGGCATAGATTGCGCTGGAAGGATTATTGTTAAGTAAAAATTGTTATTGAGGATTATTAGAAGTAAACTAAAAAATGTGGTGCGCGCAACACACAACTTTCACTTACCTCTCTACTTTGAATAGAAATTATTTTCTGGTAATGTTGGGCTATTATAAAATTTTTTGAAGTGCATTTTAAACAGAGCTAAAGCTTACAATAACAAATCATTAAGACCATTAAATTTACAATGTCTGTATAGTATCTATACTCTATTTATTATATTAACCACACAACTTCAGTCTCTGAGCCTTTCAGTTGACAGAATGACTAACTCCAATTTCAACATTTTTGAGAAATGTCATTTTAGTGATATTTCTAGTTTTTTAAGAGCAAGTTTCTAATTTCAGTGTTGAGCTCAGAAATTTACACTAGCTACTAAAAATTCTATTCCACTTTCCTTTAAAAGTTCGAGTCTATAGGTATTTTTTTTTTATCGTTAATAATTACAAATATGGATGTTATCATCTAGAACATTATTTTTTTCCACAATTTATTCATTTCTAATCATCAGGCTGACTTGACGCACTTCCAAACCTCAACACCTTTTGACGAATTCCTTGGAGGTTGCTGAAAAAGAAGAATTATTTCATAATATGGAATCGAACAATTTCGAAAATAATAAGCAAAGAATACGTTAACAACTACCTTACATTATATTTGTTCATATGTCATGTCCTCCAACACAATTAAATACATTACTAGACCAACTTAATTGTTAATAATATGATAGTATAGTTTTGTCACGAATTAATATCACTTTTAAAATTTAAATTGGTCTAATCTTATCATTCTGAATACAATAGCCAATAAGATTTAAGAATAGCTATCTGACCTTTTGCCACAGTTTCTCATTGGCTAAGCTGTAGCGGGAAAAAAAATTCAAAGATTGTTCGTTTTGTTCGGCGAAGGTTACACTTTTGTAGGCTATGTTACCGCACAGTTATGATTTGTTGTTTTTTATGCACAACTTCCAGTATATTAAAACCAATGGATTCTTTTGCCTCAGAATTATCTTCGATGACAGATTATTTAAACAATGAAAAACTGTGTCAGGTATTTCTTGAACAAGTAATTGTCACATCTATGCTTCTGTGGCAATAATCATGTTCAGCAATTGCAATTACTAAGATATTCTGCACTTTGTTTATTTTTATTACATGGAAGTGTTAATATTTTAGGATATGTGCAAAACTATAACACAAAGCGTGGAGAGCACTAATATTAATAGCAAACAGGTTGAAGCTCAACCATTTCCTTCACTCATGCCTAACATAAATTCAGGTATTATTTTGGTCTCTGCATGTATGACCAGTACATCTAATTGCTGCTTATTTTAAGTTTATTTCTTTAAAATTCTATGATTTTTTTATTATTTATAATCTGGTGCAGTTCTTCAAATTTAAACTAAAATAAATATATACAATTATTTTAATAAAAGTAAAGAACATCTTTTTTCCATACTGTTTTTATAACTATCAGTAATGTTAAATAGTTTAATTTACAATGTTTATTGTTAGACAGTGCTTTTATTCAAAACTTTATTTAAAAACTAAAAAATCTTTGCAGGTACTATTAATTAAGACATTGAAATAATGAATATGTGAGAACTACATGAATATAAATCTAAATATATGCACCTTTCAACTTAAGCAGTTCTAGAATTTCCCCTGATATATTCTATAAAATACCATTAATAAGTTTAACATTAATATGTAATAGTAATTCTTTATTAAACAAATAACAATTAACAAAATAGCATTTTTTTCTTTCTTTTTTTAGTTGTTTATTTATCTGAAAATTATCACAACTCAGTCAAAACAATATGTGTTATCAGAAAGTATTGCTGTCCTGACTTTAATTCATTCAAATGATACTTCATGTAAGATTTTTTTTAATTGGCATAAGCCAATTTTTTAAAAATAAATCAATTATAATTTAAGATAAACTTACCCTATTAGTAAATTATTCAATGGAATATGATTTTTATGATAAGGTAGGTCATAGCACTTTAGGTATTAAATCTTTAAATATCTCGATGAATGGATAAATGAACTTATACCACTTGCGTAAACAGCGGCTCGAATATTAAATCCATTTTGAATTTATAACATCTTTGATCTAACTAAATTTCTTATTGCTGCTATTATTTCTTATGTATTTATATTTTTACTTTATAACTCACCGTTAGATGTAATTCATAAGTTATATCATAAAAATAAAATTTTACATTTATGCCTAGTGATATTGAATGAATAAAATCCTTATGATAACTATAATTTATGGGATAATTTCCCCTCATTATATTTGCAACTATTAGAATTTACTAATATGACAGGCCAATGGAGTTTTTTTTTTTTTTAATGTGATGTAATGGTTTATAATTTAAAGGAGCACTGATATTGATAAAAACATTCTGAAATATAAAGTCAAAAGAGTTCTGCATGAGTATTTAAATGGAGGATGATTGAGTATTCTTTACTTTCTATTATTGGATTAATATTATCATCATCACCTTTAAAAATCAAATCTATAGCATTAAATTACTTTAATTGATATATCAGAACAATATTTGTTAAATAAAACCTTATAATCTCAAGTCTAGGTTTATAGATTTATAATTAAACCTTATTAACACAAAAATAGATGTAAAATATAAGTTTTTTTTCTGTTCTCCTGAAAAGTAGGTATATTAAAACTATTTTATGTAGGACTATCTCCTTCCTCAATTATTTACGATCAACCATCGAGTATTCAATAAGTATATTATTGGTTGTTATTTAAACGCGGTAGCAACAATATTCCCTGTTTTTTAATTTTATAAATGTTTTGCAAACTGTTTCCATAAAAATATTTTTGGTACACTATTTTATTCTTTTAGAAATTATGTAGTGATTGCACGATTCCATGCATGAGTGTTTTATTCTGTTTTAAAATGATTTTACTAATAATAGTTTAGCAGTTAGTACCTACATAAATCTATTTAATTTTTTTTAAGTTCTGCTGTTGTTTCAGGCATATTGTCGATTGCTAATTCTTGTGTTACCTTTACACCTCAATACATTCGATTATTACAGCACTGCAAATCTAATCTAGTGAATGTATTTTTATTTTTTTTTTCACTGATTATATTTACAAAGGATCTGTCAAGAAATCTTTTCTACTCTACTCCATGATGGTCATCGCTGTTGTCATGCTTTTTATTCTGCTTCTATTCATTGCATCAGTTGCCAATTGTTTGCAATCTTGTTTACTAGCTTACTCTTTATCCATTCAAAGTACAGTTTTACATTCTTGCTTAGACTACTTACAGTAAACAATACATCTAACATATGTTAATATGAACTCCAACTTCCCCACTTAATGGAATAAAAAAAGAGATCATCAGCGACCTTCCCCACTTTCATCTATTATTTATTTATTACTCAATTCTTTCTCCATGTTTTACCTTTTCAATGTTAGGTAAAAAAATTTAGTTGGCATCGCTTAATATCACACTTTTTTTGTTATGGAAGTAATGGTAACACATAAATTTTACATTAGCATATTATCTATTTATTTATTTATAATTAAATGGATTCCTTCTTTTGCCAAAAATATATTATTTTCCAATTCTTAATTTTTGGATTAGATTTATCTTGGAACTGCTTTGTTTCAGATGAAGATATTGAAGGAATATTACATGAAATTTCAGAAATTTTGGCTGCACAGAGCGTTGACGATTCTCAATGTACTGATAATGGTAATTCAATAGTTACTTTAAAATCACTTATATTATGCAAAAATAACAATTTTGTGGCCTTTTAACCCTTTATCGGAGACTAATAACTGAAGGTTTGTGTCGCTCATAATGATGGAAGTTTTTTTGTAGATTTTACTTTGAAAATGGTCGTTATTTCAGCCAGTGTGCTTTGAGTGACATATTTTTTCAATAGGTGATTTTCTAGTTGAATATACACTCCATTTTATCAGTTTAATTTTTTCCAATAAAATTGTATTTGTACTTTTTTTTTATATATTGGCTGTATATTTATTTAATAAAATAAATTATTCAGAGTATTCCTCACACGTTAGGTTTCCAAAGATTAGTTCAAGATTATTTATTTTTTTTTTTTTTTTGGAATCATTACTGCAATATGTAGTCAGTAGTTAATAGTTAGTAATTATATATAATGTTCTTAAAAAGTCTAAATAGTTTTAAAATTATTCATGAGTATCTTTAACTTTTTTCATTTGGAAATGTTGATTATTTTTTAAAATAATTTTTTTAATTGTTATATTTTTCTACCTTATTTTGCTTTTATAATTTCATTTTATTCAACCATAATAAGTTATTGTTAATTTTAAAAAGCAGTGTGTAAGGTGAAATCATTTAAAATATGTATATTTGATATATGAACCATGGGACTGTATTAATAATACACAATAAAAAAATCACCAAATGTTTCAAACATTCTATCCTTATGAAAAAAAAAATTGTAAAAAATATGCCCTGTAAACCTAAGTGCACACCGATTGATCATATCTACCACTTTACTATAGCTATAATACATACCTAACAATTCAAGGAAGTCCTCAACGATATTTGTTCTGTTATTAACATATCCTGATAAAAAAATTAGAAAAGAATTATGGGAATTATATTTTATACAGGGTTAAATGGCCAAAGCAATGTGCAATAATTAAAATATCCAAACAACTGACTTATTAGAGTTCATATCTGTGTCCCGGAGGTAAAGGATATCATATCCATTTTTAATTAAATAATTTAGTAACTAAGAAACAAATTTTAATAGTTCAAAATTATGGAAAATCGGCTTCCCGAATAAACAAACAAAAATTTAATATGTTGTCGTTTACCTCAAGAGTATACATTTAGAAACAAAAAAAAAAAACAAATTTTAATAGCTCAATGTTATGGAACATTGAGAACAAATACAAAAATAGACATGGTATTCTTTGCCTCTGGGTTACAGACATGGAATATTAGTTACTGTGAATCTATGAAGATGGAAATATATTATTTTGTTATTTTATGCCACAATGGCTGACCACAAACAAATTTATAATAATTTTGAATGAAATGATATTGTTATTTATATATTTATTTCAATGAACATTGATTCATATTTAATTTTAAATATGTTTTATTAAATATAATGTATTGAACAAAAACTATGTATTATGTAAAATTTGTATTTCTTGTATTAATATTATAAATAAAGGTACTAAACGATTTTGAAATATGAATTATAATAATAATATATATTTCCTTTTAAGGGCTGGATGACAGCAGAAGTGTCGAAGAAATTCTAAAGGATGCAGAGGAGTTAGTTTGCTCAGCTGCTTCTCACATTGAAGAAGATAAATCTCCAATTTCCAATTCAAACAAAAATCCTGGCCCTAATAAAATTTCCAAAGATAAAGCGGCACCTCATAAAATAGCTAGCAGTGTTTCTTTTGCAGAAGATTGTAAACAGCGTTCGTCGGCTACTCATAAAGTACAGAATAAATCTACTGAAGCTCACATTAAACGGAGTAAAAGTTTTAGTGATTTTGAAAAAACTAAAATTGTTGATGATGGTATTAAGCTTGATAGAGCAGTATTTTCTCCATCTAGACCATATATTAGAAATGATAACAGGAAAAATAATAAAGTTATTAAAAAAAAATCTGAAGCGTATGAGTTAAAATTGTCTGATTTAGCTACAGTGTATGAAGATGTTGATGCCCCGTTGGAAACGCCAGCTTCCAGTTCTGTGAAGGCTTCAGAGGCTACAGGTATTTATCAAAATCATTATTTTTAAATGTATTTGTTAGTAAATAGGTGTGTATTTGTGTTTGTATACATATGTAAATGTAACAAATTGTCAGTTTATCAAAACTTTCTATAGAACAAACGTTGCTCTATATAACCATCCCAAACTAAATTGTTTCTGTTAATGATTTCTTTTTATTATAAATTTCAAAATATAACCATTCAGTTCCACTCTTTGACCATTAAAAATCTCTATAGGTTTTGTAAAAGCAATTTATACAAATCTTGTTGACCATCGAGTTGATGATGTTACTAGCATCTAATTTTTAATAAATAATATACAATGATTTATTTTTCTGTTTTACTTGTTTCTGATTTTTTTTCTTTCTTTTTTTGCAGATAATGAAGTGATTATGAATAAAAAAGTGAATACTGTTGAAAATCAAGACAATATGGCATTGATGCACCAGGATGTAAATAATGCACAAGTCACCGATAACGTTGCATTATTAAAACAAGAAATTGAATCATTGAATTTAAAGGTATTTTTAAATTTTACTGCATCTACTTTGTAGATATCACAGAGTGCTTTTAGTGTTTTTAAAAACATAAGCTTTAAGTAACAAGCTCATAATTTATCCTTGAGTGAGTTTCATTTTTTTTTTTTTGTTTTTTTTTGTTTTTCATTCATTGGTTTGTCCGGAAAAGAATGCAGGATTTTGGTTTAAAAGAAAGATTTACTACTGTTTTATTTAAACAAAATAGTCTCCACTACTATCAATACATTTCTGCCAACATGATGGCAACATTTCAATTTCCTCAGAATAAAATTTTCCATCTTTAGAATTGATAAACTCCAAAAACGCATTTTCTAATTCCCTTTGTCCATTAAATTTTTTGTCTTGTAAGTAGTGGTCCAGGTGTATAAAAAAATAATAATCCATGAGCAAGAGGTGAGAGGTCCGGAGAGTAGGACGGATGTGGCAGAGTTTCCTATCTAAGCTCCAACAGCCTTTGTGACATCATACGTGAGACATGTGGCCGAGCGTTATCGTGCTACAAAATAGGCCCCTTCCGATTGAACAAAGACGGCTTCATTATTGCCAATTTCTGATGCATTGCATTAATTTGATTATAATTAATCAAATGAACTGTTCACTCATTAATGCTGCTCTTGCCCCAGACTTGATTGATGTTTGCAGCCCTAATAAAATTCTGACCGAGTTTAAACTCATAAAACAAAATTATACGAAAATCACGTGTTGACATCTTAGTAAAGACTGAACTATTTCTAAGCAGTGAAATGCTAAATAGGTAAACAAACACTATTGTTTGGAAGAGGATTAATAAGTGTTTACATTCATACAAATAAATATTCCATTAATCATAAACAGTTTGTTATGTAGAGGGGTATTTTAAAGAAAACTCAAAACTCTCCTAGTATGATGAAGGAAAAGACAAATAGCAAGCAGACAGAGAGGAATTCTTTTAATTTTCCTGCAAAAACTAGATCACCTACTATGTACTAACCAAAATAACTCTGTAAACCTTCTTCCATAAAAAAAATTGAAAGGATTCCTGTCAGTTCGACTAACTCTTTAGGTCTGCCATAACTGAATCATTACTACTTATGGCATTTTCATGATTTTGAGAAAAATTTTAAGTTATGTTTAGAAGATAAGAATCTACATAAATTATATTAATTATATCATTTTTAGCAATACAAGTATAGTAGATGTTCAGAAAAACTTGTTGATAATTTTGCACTTTTGTTGTTTCTTCATAAAATCATATTTCAGTTCATCTTTTCTTTGATTATAATTACAAACATGGGTAATAATTGAAACATTAGAGTATTCCTTCTGAAATAACTTCTCTCATACTAAACTTGGTAAGAATAAAAAAATAATGATTTGACAAAACAGCATAAAACTTAAAATTTTCAGAGGGGCTGAAAATTATTTTTTTTCTTGATTTCTTACTCGAACTATATGGAATTAAATTTTTTCAGGAATGGATTATGGAGTATCTGTTTTGTTTTTTTTTTTCACTTAAAATGTATCTATGATCAATAAATTAAAAAGCGGTCTTAACTCAAAACCAGTAAAAATGTCAGATTTATTGTTTCAGCTATAATCGGTTCAATAGTTTTTGAAAAAGCCAAATTTTTAATTTTTTTTTTAAATATAGATTGTAATAACTTAACCGTCCATACTGATGTGAAAATATTATTTTTAGGAGGGGTAACCTGAGGCTAAAAGGTATTTCCTTTTTAAAACTTATTAAGTACATTGTCCATTCTGTGGAATATTTTAAAACAATTCCAAATTCATGGCAATTTTTTATGACTATGGTATGAAATATCTCATCTTCTCTTGAAAGAGACAAGAGCTTTAAAATCAGTTTCCTTCATGCTATCCATGTTCAGTAGTTATGGTTTAGTGTTATTAGTAGCCGTTTATATTTCATTCATCCTTTAGTTTTCTTGCTTCATTTTTACCTGGTTATCCTCATGAAGCTGAGTAGAATGCAGATCAGTTTTAGTTCTTAGTATATTTTTTATACCTCTTGAAAATCTAATACTTTGGAATATTATGAAAATTTTTATTGTACTTATTTATAATTTCACCAAAGTAGGAAAATATATCTCTTTCTATTTTTTAAAGTATAAAACTATAAACTTACAGATAGCCATGTATGAAAAGAAAGATAAGGATAAAACTGCATCTGAAGATAGAGTAAATATCGCAGAACAAAATAGGCTTGCATTACTTAAAGAAGAAATTCTGAGCCAAGAAGAGCTGATAGCTAGTTATCAACGAGAGAATCAACGACTCTGTAGTGATATCATTAATGCAAAGGTAGGTATTACTGGAATAATATATTTTTTTTCTAAATTTTTTACAAATCCTACTATTTAATTTGTTAACTTGAGCTCATCATGTTTTTAAAAATATTTTACTACAAATATTTCTGTGTCTTTTACTCATTATTTGTTGTTCTTTGTGTTATAGTCAGTGTTAACTAATTTACTAACACCTATGCACTGTGGAGCAATTTATAAATTTAGAAGTGCACAAGTAAAAAAAAAGATTAAATTTAGCTATTGGTTTGTATACAGAAAAAATATTTTATTGATTTAAATCCAATGGTGTTCAATTTCAAGCCTACATATTTAAAAATAAAAGCAGGATAGATACAGGATATCGCATAACCCAAGGAAAATGTTCAAAGGGGTATCAATAGGTCTCAAGATCTACAACAAAATTTATTTTAATCATAGTCTGATTATTAAAATTATCAATTATTTAAAATTATCAATTTTTTTCTCTTGAAGAGCATGGGCCATGGAGTAGTAATCCGATGGTGTGTAGTCTGGATTGTATGGTGGATGAGGCAGGAGTCATATCTGAAGGATTGTTCAATAAATTTTCACAAATTTCTAACCTCTTAGCTGATTGCTGATGAGCAAGTCCCTCATGGACCAGTCTACTTCTCTTTTTCACCCTCCCGAAGGAGAGTAGATGGCAACTAACAGAATCTTTCGACACAACACACTCCCTGGCAAGTTCGCGAGTACTCGGGGTAGGATTTGACTCAACAGCTTCCTGCAGAAACTCATCAATATCCATTAATGGTCGCCCGGAGCCATTCTTCCTTTCCAACATCGTATCTCCACTGCTAAATTTTTCAAACCAACCCCACGCAGTGCACTGGTCAAGGACATCTTCCCTCTACGTATTTAATAATTTCACAAGTTGCTTCAATGGCTGTGAAATTTTTTTTTCCAGTCATGCCTTAAAATTATGAGAATTTCTTAGGACACTGCCATGTTTTTTCTTTGAAACAAATAACTAAACTGAAGCTTTTTTGACGAAGTTGAATGGGAAATAAGCTCAGAGAATGCTTTGAAGGGGCTATTAAGTATTGGTAAGAATTAAATAGGATTAAAATATTAACTGTCCTTTAAAAGCTTGAATTTGATAAAACCGTCATTTTTTTTATATACCTTATTATCTTGTTTGAGGAAGTTAATGGAATTAAGAGAAAGAAATAATCACAATCTCTCAATTTGGAGTTTTAGAAAAAAATAATGATTGAATTTATTTTAAACCAACTTCAAGTTTTCTTTTATGATGATTAATTATAAGATCTTCCTGCCTAGATTTGGTTTAATTTTTGTATAATTATTAAATTAGTGATTCTAAATATTCGTATCATAAATATTTTTTTGCATATGACTGTGACAACACTTAGTGTGTATCATTTTTTTTTTTTTTCTTGAAAAACATTATTACCATTCTAAGAAGGACTTGGTTCAACCATAACACCATATTGCTATCTAGGTTATACTTATACACTTAGGTCAATATTACATCATATTCTAGTTTCTAATTATTTTGAAGCCTATTTCATATGAAGACAATTTTTTGTGTGTTAGATAAAATAATTTTTATGTTGAAAGATTTGATTTAAAGTTATTATTGATGTACAAAGTTGGATGTAAAGATTACGTAGGGGCAAAAATATCTAATTTTACGTTTCTAGTTCATATTGAATTTAAAATTAATTAATGTATCTACTTCTTTTTCTTTGTCCTTTTAAGTAACAAAAAATATTCCAAAAGTTGTTTTCCGACTGAGCTTGAATTTAGACATATTCATTGAAATCTTGAGATTTATTTATCAGAAGAAAAAAAATCCATAAGGCAAATATTTATTCTTTAAATTATTCGTATGTGTTTGTTTGTATGTATGTTTATGTACACCCAAGAACTGAATGTTGGAAATAGTTCAATTAATGTTGAGTTATAGGTTATTGAAGTCATGTTACTGGTTGTCATATTTTCCTAATTTAAAAAGAATTAATTTTAATCATTTCAAATTTAAAAACAATTTACAGACATATTACCATTACACACTCAATTTTTTTGTAATTTTATTTAAAATAATATAGTGAAAAAACAGTGGAGAGGTGTGAGTGTACGAAAGTATGATTTGTTAAATACTGTAACAGTACGTTTATTTAAATAGAAATAAGAAACAACTTTAAAAAATAATGGTTTTTAATGAAAACTAAGTACTGATTTGTTAGGAGCCATAAAACCTTCATTTAATTTTCTCTCGTATCTATATTGTTGCTATGAAAGAATAGGGATTTTACTCTCATTTTTCCCAAATCAAAAGAATATTAAAACCTAAAGTTTCTTCTATAGTTATAATAATAATAATAACCTTTATTTGTGATACAATGAAAAAACAATGGATAAAAATATACAAAATCTCTTATATGTACAAAATCAACTTAGTTGAGGTTTTGAGTTCGATTTCTTTGTTTTTTTTTACTCAACTTTCTTGTAACCACACTAGGTAATGAACCTGACCCATCCTTTTCCATTCTTTCCTCTCTAATGCTACTCTCTTCCAGGCTGCTCCCCCGCAGGTCTTCTTCATCTCCTTATCCCAGTCTGTCGGTGGGCGTCCTCTCTTCCTCAGGTGCTCTTTTGGATACCAATCCATAAACTGCCTGGTCCATGTTAATTCAGTCCTACTGATTACATGTCCGGTCCAGGTCCACTTCCTGATGAGCACTTTTTCCACAATATCTGGAAGGTCAGTCTTAGCTCTGATCCATTTGTTTGTTTTTCTATCCCTTCGAGTTATCCCCAGAAGATATCGCTCCATTCCTCTGACGGTTATCCTCAATTTGTGGCAAGTCTTCTGGTCAATTGCCCATGTTTCACAACCATATGTCATGACAGGAAGTACTGTGCTCACCCAAAGTTTTCTCTTGGCCTCTGAGCTCACCGAGGATCTATATATATCCTTAAATTTGAAGAGTGTGCGCCATCCCTGGGTACATCGCCTGATTATTTCTTCAGTTTGTCCTTTAATTGAGATAAGGTGCCCAAGATATAGAAATGTATCTACTTTCTCTATATGGTGTTCGCCTATTTTTATATCTCCCTCAACGTTCACTGATATATAATTGCATTTTTTAAAATTTATTTTCAGTCCTATGTTTTCTCGAGCCTTTATTAATTGGTTTGCCATCGTTAGAATTTCTTCTATATTTTTACCTATTAGAACTTGATCATCAACAAACTCTAAATGGTTCAGCCAATCTCCAAAAATTTTCATTCCTTTGTTCTGCCAATTCATAGTTTGCATCAAATCATGGACAACTGATATAAATATTTTAGAAGAAAGGGTATCACCTTGTCGTACACCTTTTCTAATTTTTATTTTTACTCTTGTATTTCCTGATTTATATTCTGCATTGGATCTCGAATACATATCTTGCATATTCTTGAACTAATGTTTCTCTTTTTCAACATATTTATGATAGAATCGGTTTTTAGGGAGTCAAATGCTTTTTCGTAATCCAGAAAGAGGAGGCTCACTGACAGATTATAGTCATTTGCTTTCTTAATTAACTCTTTAATCACAAATATGTGGTCTACAGTAGAGTAATTCTTCCTAAACCCGGCTTGATGTTTTTCTAATTCTATATCCAATTTGTCTTCTATTCTTCTAAGTAGGATTTTTGAAAATATTTTATATAAAAAAAAAAAAATGTCTTCCATAGTTTAAATTATCTAATCCTTCTTGGGATTCATTGATGTTTGGAGGATAACTGATATCGGCTTCCGTTAATAAGCAGGAGTACTGATCTGTGAGTGTCAAGCTGCTAATTTAGGTTTAATCGTTATATATTTTTACATTCCTCAACTATTGTATGAGATGAAACGGGAGAAGAGAATCCAGAAGGGTGACATGGAGGAATGGAGCTGACAAAAGGTGAAAATGCCCAAAAGAGAGTAAAACACTTCCCCACAATACAATCTTGGTTGCATCTGAAGAAGTTCTTCCTAGGACGTGGGAGTTTTTGATCCTTGTTTCATAGGCTTGGCCAAAATCTTTATCTCCCATACCCCACTTGTTGTGTATCATGTGATCCACTGAGGAATAGTTTATTTTGCTGGTAAATAAAGTAAACTTCCTGCAATTCATACCTGGTTGGGAAATGGTAGTGGGTCAAGTCCACTGTAACCTTAGAACACTAAGGAAATGAAGAATACCACCAGACTAGGAAGATTGGGTCAGAAGAAATCAGAAGACCAGAGTATATGAACCAGTGCAGTCGAATCTCTTTTTGCTCGTAATCCTAAGAAGAAAGAAAATAAATGAGGTGTATACTCACATTTAATACCCATTTTTTTAAACTCTTGGAATTTCCCATCAAAATGCTGATATTTCCTGAGCAGGTGTATAGTTTATAAATCGAATATTTACCACATACATTGTTTATTTTTGTTTTTTTAAAACTTTAAATGATTTTTTTTTTCAATTAAAATATCTATGGCTAGTTTCATAATTTATATTTGCTAGTGCTTTTCATGTGTATTTTGTGAAAGATGAAATTCTTTCAGGTCCTTAAAATTATTTTAGGATCCTATAAATCTTGAAACATACTTTTTACAAGGATTTATGCTTAAACATTATCGTTTTGGTGATAACTTCCATAAAACGTTACCTTCATGCATCGATTCCCTAAACGCATCAATACCCAGCTTTTCCATTCTCATCAAGAGACATTCAAATGAAAGCAGTTATATTATACATATGCTTGCCCTTGCCTTGATTCAAAGGGCTTTGTGTCCTTAAGCATCAATCCAAATAAAGAATAAACCATAAATATAAATTTACACTCGACCATAGAGATAAGTAAGATTTATTCATGGTTATTCACGTCACGATCGTTTGTTCGTGACACATTAATCTCGGCAACTGAATTGCCTTATAGAACGGCATTTAAAATACAGTGACAAACTAAAAGTTTCTAACAAACTAAAAAGAAA